CTATTAAAAATGAAGACTAAAGATTGAGAGCAGGCATAAATTATAACTTTTTTTCTTTCAATGACCTTGAACTTGCATTAATGACCTTGGTTCAAAGTTATAAACACAACCTCAGATCATGAGTATTTTAATTTGTAAAATAGGAACTCACCACGTTTATCCATAATACAGATATGGACGGGACATGAATTATGACTTTGTTTAAAAGAAGACCATCCCAGTGTATCCATAAGAAAGACATGAACCAAGCTCAAATTATTACCTTTTTTCTTTCAATGACCTAATACTTGCACAAATGACCTTGTGTCAGGGTCATGACACACCTCAACACATAAGCAATTTTGTGTAAAACAGGAATTTTCCAAGTTTATCTATAACAAAGAAAGATAAGGACCGGTCATGAATTATGAATTTTTTCTTTCAGTGACTTAGCTTAAATGTCCTTGGCTCAACGTCAAGAAACATCCTCAGGTCATCAGCCATCTTTGTTTGAAGCAGTATATTCAAATTTTCCATATGAAAGAATAATACCAAACATGATTACAATGAATTGAATTTTCACATGTGACTGGTTCAAAGTCATGACATAACTTTAGGTCAAGAGAAATCTTTGTGTGAAAAAGAAACTTACGAAGTCTACCCATAAGAAAGATGTGGGCCGTTACGAATTTTAAATATTTTCTTCTAGTGACCTTGAACTTCTCCGATGAGACTTAGGTCAAGGTCATGACACCCCCTTAGGTCGTGGACAATCTCTCTGTAAAGCAGAAGATTCCGATTTTCCTCTGTAAGATTGATTGAATATTGTTTAACATCTCTCTCGAAAAATTTTACTCATATGGAGATGTCACCGGTTTTGACCTTTACTCGGAATTTAGGGCCATTGAGCAGTGAGGTATCTTTATCGTGCCAACACCTGCCGCTCGGTTTTTAAGGTTTCATCCTAAGGACCCGTAATTTTCTTTTCAAAGTTGTGAGCGCATGGCGAAGGGAAAGTTGCTTCCCATTTTTTTTTTGACTTGGGTCACTCGCGGCCGAGATTCTAAATCACGACTTCCTGATCACGGACTCTACCGACTGAGCTACCGTGAACGGTTTCTCTGTAAGAAAGATATTAACCGGACACGTTTGCAAAGACAGACAGACAGACGAACAGATAACTAGACGGACAGACGGACAAACTGATTCCTATACACCCCAAAAATTTGTTTTTGGTAGTATAATTATAATGAATTTATATTTTGAAGGTCGGACTTTTTTTTATCTTGGTATCTGAAAAGTCATAACATATCATCTCTAAGAAATTCCCTTCAATGGCATTGTCATAATTGACATTGTGTCACAGTATAATATAAGCTGATTGTACGGGAATTGGTTAGAGTTATCTTTATTTTGGCGTCAGGACTTACGCAGGTTTGTTAAGGCACACGGATCAGAATTATGCGAATTTACGCTTTTTAAAAAAAAAAAAATAATATGTATCACTGATAAATCGGAAAAGTCATGAATAAAACTTTTGCAATTATTATGCATTCTATAGACTTAAACGGGACTTATACTACAGGAAGCACTACACCATGACGTAACCACGTGATGTCTATAATAAGAAAATATGCCTTAATGAAAAAGTGAAAAGTTTAACACTATTCTTGGGATAATTAATTTCATTTTGTAATAAAAGTTATGTAAAAATGTTTCTGTTTCATGAAAAGTGCTTCTAGAATCCTACTGAACGCCCTTTCACAGAAATAATTATTCATTATTTTAGGACGAAACCTTCCAAAATTTTTTACATTTTGTTAAAAAGATCAAACAAAATGCATCAATTCCCGTTAACCATACAATTCTAGTCGCACTTTCCAAAAATAATAGAATAAGAACTTTCGATAAAAACAAAAATTGAGTTTCAAATAATGCGGTGTAGTGTTGACCTTTTGTATCTTTTTTGTTACGGACGACAGATGCAAGTAAACACACTGTCTGCTTTTAATGTACGAAGAAATTGTAGAATTATATTAGCAAACCTTATTCATAAGCTTTATTCCCATATGAATAACACATGATATTCATTCTAAATGCGTTTAAGCTCCGATTTCTGTTGTTTGCTTAAATGGATTTTCGTTATGTTTCACTTTCACTTTCACTCTTTCAATGTTTATCAACAGTTATGATGTTATGGGTTTTGAATTTAACCCCTGTGTTATTTAGTGACTATAAATCCCCCTTTTTAACCTTAAACTTTTTTATAAAACACCATCCTTATAAACCTGGCCTAAACCACATTAGAAATAAAAACAACATTTAATTATGTTTGGCGTGCTTGTCATGACCTTTTATTATATGTACATTTTAATATGTAATTCACAAATATATGCGCCGATTACAATTATATGGCAGCATAAATATAGATGAGACAGCAATAGAAATACCACCTGGATCCAAGGAGCCTGGAGACAACAGTACCCCCCGGAGACGGTATTCTATGCAAAATTATGCCAAGTCCATCAAAAGCAAAAAACTGTCCATCAGACGAAAAGTTTGTCACATGGCTACCAATCGGCGCTGACACTGACATCCCTTGTTAACAAGTCCTGGTCATGACGCTGAAAAAAAAATTGAGAAAAAACAGAAGACACCATTCTCAGAATTTATAACTTAAAATTTTAATTTTTTCTTGAGGTGGGTGGGGGGGATTTCGTGTGTTCTGCTCTGAGGGTTGATGAAGAAAAAGGAAGAGTTAAATGCGCATGCTCACCAAATTAAAGACAAGTTTGCGCATGATCACGACATAGAAAAAAAGGGGTACACCACAGGGAAACTACAATTGATTTACTTATAAGAGTTACTGCCCTTTGCCCAATAAAATTATGCACCAGTTATTACTGCACTAAATAACCTGGTTTATCCTTATGAGATAAATCCTATTATTTAGTGACTATAAATCCCCCTTTTTAACCTTAAACTTTTTTATAAAACACCATCCTTATAAACCTGGCCTAAACCACATTAGAAATAAAAACAACATTTAATTATGTTTGGCGTGCTTGTCATGACCTTTTATTATATGTACATTTTAATATGTAATTCACAAATATATGCGCCGATTACAATTATATGGCAGCATAAATATAGATGAGACAGCAATAGAAATACCACCTGGATCCAAGGAGCCTGGAGACAACAGTACCCCCCGGAGACGGTATTCTATGCAAAATTATGCCAAATGGTACATATGACAAAGTCGAATGTACCATCCGCCATAAAACAAGGCGGCAATTTTGCCCCTTCAACAAATTGAAATATTCAAAACAATCAAAGTATTTGCACAAAATGCGCACAAAGAGGTGAAATTCACCAACATTCAAAATTTAATATAAAGTTGGCTTAAGTTGCGTCAGATGCGCTCATGATAAAATTGCGTCAGATGCGCTCATGATAAAATTGCGTCAGATGCGCTCATGATCCAATTCAAAATAATAAAAATTGCGACAGATGCGCTCATGTTCAAATTGAAAATAATTCAATCAAATTATATGACAACACATATCGATATACACCTAACCATGACAAGCACAACCATTTCAAGGAAAGGTCCTGTTCTGAAATTTACAAGATAAAATTCGTTTCAATGCACCCTTTACAGTATTAATAAACAAATCATTGCCTAAATCTGTCATGTGAACACCATCTGAACGGAATAAATTCCTTTGATTTGCAGTTATATCTGGGTACTTAATAGCTGCTCCATTTAATTTATTTAATACAAAAGATGCAACTGAACTATTAATTCTCCGCCTACATTTTTCTCCTTCAGTGTTAGCTACTACATTTGACCAGTTTCTGCGTTGCAAGATATGAGACCAAATAATAATGCAATTTGGTAATCTTTCTTTTATTTTTGCTAAATTAGCCTTTATCATCATTTGTATACCCCTTAAAGTGTTATGCTGTTGACCAATGTTGTTCCCCCCACAGTGAATAATAATGATATCTGGAGTTCTGTTACTGACTAATAAAAAGTCTAATGTTGGGTTTAATTGCTCCCATACCATTCCGCGAATTCCATGCCACAATATTTTCGTTTGGCCTAATCCCAGGTCTGACTGATTAGATTTGACTGCATAGCTATGTGCCCAATGTACAATTGAAGATCCTATAATCCAAATGACCCCTGTAGAAAATCAATGCATCAATTTCAATCAAATATTTTACATAATTTCTATCAATAACCTTAACACTTGCATCTAAGTATTTAAAGGACGAATGTATGATTTATATGCTGTTGATTTCCATCTTCCCTTTTGTTGAATTTCACTTTCAGACAACCCTTCCAAATACAAGTGAGTAGCACCCCCAATGCGAAACGAGTGGGTTTTGTAATTCGAAGTTTTGATATCAAGAAATTTTAAGGATTTATGTAACATGCTAGAAAACTGAAACTGTGTCAATGGCTTTGAGTTAAAGTCGGCAAAATACACATCCCTATCAATTTTGCTAGACAGCAGAGAAAACTCCTTCAACAAATTCACCATCAGTACTGATTCTGACGTGTTAGGTACCCAGACTGAAGCCCCAGAGCCTAATTGGTCCGTTTTTGAACTTTTTATAAACACTGATATTCCACTGCCTAAAATCTGAATATCACCCCTTCTTAAATCTATAACTTCACTTACTCTTAACAATGCAAAGAATTCTAAGGCAAAAGATGACTGAAATAATACTGCTACATACGTTGAGAATGCCAAATGCGGTGCAACAATGCCAATGTGATTGGTCGACGCATATCACAAGACAAAGATGACTTTTTGTACCCTGCCATCGACTTCTTCACCAAAAAGGTCTCCAACGGATTGTTCCAACCATTTAAATTAATTAGAAAACTTATCCCATCCTTTACTATCTCTACTTTTTTAATCGAAACTGAATGTCATATTCTTGCCAACCCTGATACATATTATCTGCCCCCCCCCTCTTTATCGTTGCCTTCTTTTCTTGTCTTCCTATTTCTTACTTGGTGGTTGCATATAAACTAACCAGAGTTCTGCATCCACAGATGCCCAACTGATTGCCGAGTTGAATGACTTTTTTAATCGAAACTGAATGTCATATTCTTGCCAACCCTGATACATATTATCTGCCCCCCTCTTTATCGTTGCCGTATACCTGAACAAAGACAATGCTTCAGTAGGATGCTTCACTAAATAAATTGATCCATAAATCAAAAAAGCATCCACCCACTGAGATATGTTCACAATTTTTTGTTCTTTAGTTTTGGGTTTAAGTTGGAATGCACCATCCTCAAAAACTATTTGATTTGTAGGTGTAGACGTGGGGTCGTGAAATAATAGTTTGTTGAGATGAACAAATTCATTGTTATATATTTTTTCTTTCAAACTTTGCGATACGTGAACACCTAGGGGGGAAGCTGTACTTATAAATGGTAAAGGCAAAGCCAAAGAATCAACTGTGTGTATTGTACCTGGGTTAGCTGTGCTCCCAGTCCCCTGTTCATTAACCACGTCCTGCTGGGTCTGTATGGCTTGTTCCATCACGCTGTTAACCGGAATACCGGTGGCTATAGTAGCAACCTGGGGAAGCGTCGCCGTCGACACGGTTGACGTGGCTGTAGTACCTTGAGGCCTAGTCCGTGTAATGGCCGCCTGGGTTCGTGGCATGGTCCTAACCGCAGTGGAAACGGCTGCAGCAGCTTGACCTCTAGGACGGGCATAAGGACTCTTAGACTTCGATTTTCTGGGAGCTCGCAACATCTTTCCAGTTTATTTTATCGATGCCAATGATGGATGTCGATTTAAACAAAATTTGTCGGACACTAAAATTTCGTGTGTTCTGCTCTGAGGGTTGATGAAGAAAAAGGAAGAGTTAAATGCGCATGCTCACCAAATTAAAGACAAGTTTGCGCATGATCACGACATAGAAAAAAAGGGGTACACCACAGGGAAACTACAATTGATTTACTTATAAGAGTTACTGCCCTTTGCCCAATAAAATTATGCACCAGTTATTACTGCACTAAATAACCTGGTTTATCCTTATGAGATAAACCCTAATATAAACATTGACCCAAAAAACGACAAGATTACATTTATATTATGCCTTTGCATATTTTGATTCATTTTAGGACCTCAAATCAAATTGAATATTAAGAAATTGTTATCTCAAATGTTCACGTCATATAGCTTACTTATGACGTCATATCATATAGGCGAGTCGAATATTTTGTTATAACCTTACTATACCTGCGTATTATTTATTTATTTTACGTTCTATTTGTCACCGAGTTTGTACTTGTTGCCATTTTTATCATATATACTCGTCGAACACGTTTGATTAGTGTGGTCAATTATTTATACTGAGTGTTGGCTAGTATTTGTCATATTAGATATATTCGCCGGGAGCTTAACTTTACCAATGCTTAGGGATCTTGGGTGTGTGCCTTTTATATAACACATGCTGTTTGAACTAAGGTGTGTTTTGTTTCCCCTGTTGAGTGATCTTGGGATTCAGTGATGTCTATAGCAGCGTTGAAAGCAAGACCTGCGGACCGACAGTATGTTTATCGTGACTAAAATTGTATATATTGCTTTGTTCGGGATGGGAGGATTTGTGCATATGGACAGGAAGGGATTTTATGGTGGACAATTGACGATATAGCGACGTGGTGTGAAAATTGACAGTGACAACTATGATTGAACTTTCAGCCGTGTTTTGTTCATTGTACATATTTAGATAAATTTATTATTTAATTTTTATAAATATTGTTGTTTCTTTGTACACAGGAGGTCTGCCAAAATATTATTTGTTTTGTTTAGTAAATTCTGATTTTAAGAATCCATCACAACTTGAGCCCAGTTGTGTCAGGAATACATTATACATTTACCTCGCTTTCTCCTTGGATAACAAAGTTAGAAATAATTTGCTAATGCTGCATATATGTCAATAGGTCTCCAAAATTACTTAAAATGAACCGGTAGAGAAAGGGTTAATGAATTTTTACAGATTCTTTATTGCTTAATGCTTCATAGACATAACAAAAATTGCAGTAAATATAAAAATGAAACAGATGTTATGAGTTTGCATTTTTAGTTTTACAAAAGATAACGAACGCGAGCCCTACAGATAAAAAGTAATTAAAGAGGCTGAACAATAGAAATAAACTTTTAAACCAGACGGTCCCACGAAATAAATCATGGGAATGCAGCTGCTACTTATTTCTTTTTTTTATCACAAAATGTATTTGGTAAAAGTGAAGAAGCATTGAAGTGATCAGAGGTCATATATTTGGATAAATTAGCTACAACAAATAATATTTAAAGATTATGCAAAAGATTGGAAATTATTTTAAAAGTGCATTAAAAGTTTAAAACGTACTCAAGGTCAGAAGTAGTAGTTATTAAATTCAAATTAAAATTTAACCCCATCCCCGCAATCACGCATATACCGTTGCCCCATTATCACGCACTTTAACGCATATACCTTTACCCCACAATCAAGCACTTTAACGCACATTTCGTTTTGGACGTTTTTTACTCAAATAATGGGTAAAGTTTTGATTTTATGGCAATAAATGATGAGATAAAAATATTTGAATAATATAATTCTAAAATATTTCGTAAATAAAAGTACTTTTCTTCATTTAGATATGTCTAAGTCGTTCGATTTATTAGACAAAACTTGGGATGCGAGGAAAATTAAGAAGGTCTTTCTTTTGACACTCAATAAGCTCACCACTTGAACCGCTGGGTTGGTGATGTAGAAATCCCCCAAATCTTGTGTGAAATGGGATCCTTGATCCAGAATTTATGAAATTCAACAAATGATTTTTGTATGTAAAAGTTTGATAAAAGCGTTTGCAGAAATCGACAGAAGGAACGGCCGGGTAAAATTACAACAACAACAACAACAACAAAAAAAGATTTAAGTAAATTCACATTCATACAACTGAAGAGAAAAGAGGTTTGTTCATGGAAAAAAACACTTTGTTTTAAATTTAATTTACATTTAATCTTATTTCTTGTTCGATTTAAATTCAAATTCGTTAATATACAATCTTATTGTTTCTGCCTTATCACACAATAACATGGGGATACAGGAACGACAATATCATGTTGAAAAAGAATTAATTAAAATTTGAATGATTCATTTAAGCATTGAATTCATATTTTGGATGTCTTCGGTCCTATAACACACCTGGCCGTGCCGACAAATTGAATACCGCGCGTTAGCGCGGTATGATAAATTTGTCGGCACGGCCAGGTGTGTTATAGGACCGTAAACAGCCAAAAATATGAATTCAATGCTTATATTTACATTCTCTAATTTTCCTTCTTCATAATTGCTTATTTCGTCAACATTTAATGTGAATTTAGCGCCCTTCAAAACTAACGTGGTTAATAGACGTAAGAGCCGTTTGTGACGTCAGATGACGTTAAGTGACGTTGCAAAGTTAAATTACGCAAACAAACATTGCGATTAAAAAAGTGACAAATTAATTCTTAACGCACATTACGTTGATTTCTACTTTAATTTTTCAGGGTTGTAGTTTTTCATTAAATTGAAATAAAACATATTACATTTTGGTGTTTCTAGAGTATTGAAAATGCATGTAGTTCCTACTGTGTATTCTAACTCGCGGTGACAAGGTTTCGCGTGTGTTATAGAAATTTGAACGTCGTGGATTTCTAATGGATTTGATAAGGAAAATTATACTGAATGTAAATATAATCAAGTTAACGTTCCAATATCCGTAAAAAGGCTTTGCACATACTCGTATGTTTTGATTTTTAAAACTATACGTCTATACATAAAACAAGGTATTCGGGAAAATTTTATGCGAGTATACTAAATACTTGTTTGACATTCTTAGAAACAGGTGTGAACTAAAACTCACTAGTAATATCCACTGTGAATATAAAATGTTATGTAAATTAAAATTTACACAAGTTCAGTTATGGTCAGATGCACGGTCAATTATAGGAAGTTGAAATCAGATTCAACAAAAATAAATCCCACCATATGGCAGGCCACAACAAAATGTGTGTTAACGGATAAACAGGCAGCTGGCATCGGATCTTAACAAAAATTGATTCCATCATATGCTGAAGTGAAGAATGTGCTAAAATTTCAAGTATGTTGAATGAGTTGTTGCTGTGAGAACTGCGAACAAAACTTTATTATGGACAGAAACAAGCATCTAGACAGACGGACAAACACATTTGACATTCACCTTATGAATGGACAGTTAACTCTTGACTAAATCAAAGGGTAGTGCAGAGATCCATTTTGATGAGCAATGCATTTAGGCGCTTAGAACTTGATTCTTGGGTGGGGGGGGGGCATCTTTGACCAACAGCAATCTTCCCTGCAATTCATCCCCGGAATTACTACAGTCCCTGAAACGTTCTACTTTCCCATTTTTCCCTTCGCTCACCGTTCGTTCAGTGTTCGTTCACAGTTTGTTCAGCGTGCGTTCACCGTTCGCTCTCCGTTCACAGTTTTGCGTTCACCGTTTACCGTGCGCTTGCGTTCACCGTTCACAAAACGTTCACCGTTCGCTCTTCGTTCCGTTTACTCTGCGTTCACCTTGCATTCACCGTTCACTTATCGTTCAGTCTTTATTGTCATTCGGAATTTCTCCGAAGTGAAAGGACTTATCTTTTTTATGGTAAGGATTTACACGTTTTTTTTAATTAAATAACTAAGATATCGTGTTTGAAGAATAATTATTTCAATGCAAGAAGTATCTACGATATTTATATTTCTATTATTTTAACTAAGCTGTTTCTTTATTCAAAAAATTTCCCTGGAAAATACCTGTAATACATTAAGAACCTACATGCAAGTAGAACGATGCTAAAATATGAAATTTAAATAAGGGCAATGTACAAATACTTCAAGCGCGGCATTTGAAATCGTTAATGGATGGATAATATTTCAAGTCTTTTACAAGACAAGAATATACCAAAAAATATTTCTAACACGTATTCAAAGAAAAAAATGCACGAAAACATGCTAGAACTACATATAGGTCTGAGAATTATGGATAGTACTGCAGATATTCAGTAAATTAAATATTTGTAGAGCGAATTAAATTGATAGTGTGATTTTAAATTAAAGAAAAGACCAACTGTTTAAAATTATACATGAGAATTTTTGTTCTACTTCAGGTATATAAAGTGTATAATTAGAAAAAGAAAAAAAACCTTCCTTCACCGTAACGAAATGATATGTTTCCATTCAGTATGATTAAGAGCCCCCCCCCCCCCCCCCCCCCCCCCCCCCCGGTGCCTTTTCTCCCGAAATCCAATTCTTACTTAGTATTTTCAGTATATATTGAATAATATTCAATGTGTATTGTAACACAAAAAAAAATCATTCTTAAAACAAACATCAAAACAATCATTATATACATACATGTACCGACAGTGGTATTTTGATTTGGCAGGGATTGTGCTTCAAATTCAATTTCAAACTTAATCCTTCCCGGTGTATACATTTATGACCATTATTTATTTATTTTTTCCGTAGAAAAGCGAAAATCAAGCGTAGAAATGATGTCCAAAATGCTAAAACTTCTTTGAAATACTAAATGACTCTTTGACTTCGGCATGTTCGTTGAAGCGAGGTTTCAACACCTCCATTGTGTCTAATTATTTTGATTGACAGGACAAATACGTGCACTTCGAGTGAACCTTGGGAACTTGATGAAGGAAAATAAAAGCCGACGCTTAAAGCTGTCAAATGGATTTGTTAATCTTAAAAAAAAAAAAAAACAAGAGGCCCATGGGCCACATCGCTCACCTGAGCAATAAGGGTAGGAAAAAGTGCAAAATGGCTTTTTATTGTAAAGTTTATATCCAAAAGTAGTCCCATGACCAATCATGGATTTGCTATTTTTTAGAAAATGATCGTTAAAGAATTTTCCTATATATGTCTTTAAAAACTTTGGTCGGCCATTTTGGCCCTGCCCTACCCCTGGGGGCCATGATTTCAAAAAAATTGAATCTACACTACCTGAGCATGCTTCCATATAAATATGATG